TCCATCGACCTTAGCAGAGACATGCATACAGTGAGGTTGAAACTCATCAGAGACTTGCCCTCAATGATGACAGGGAAAGTCAATCAAGCGAGAATTTCAATCCATTCCATATGAAGGATTTTAGAGAACAAAAAGAAAGGTCACGATGCTTTGAAATCCAATATCAGAGACAAAGAAAGGAGCCTACAAATAAAGGACACAGAGAATTCGAAATAAAAGTGGATCTGTCAGAGTTCAATGGAGATATGGATTCAGATGATTTTATCGAATAGCTACAATCAGTTGACAAAATCTTTGAGTACAAATAGGTGTCATAAGATAAAAAGGGGAAGCTAGCAGTTATCAAATTGAGAGAAAGTGCCTCCTTGTGGTGGAACAGCTTGCAGAAGCAAAAGAAAAGCGAAGGCGGTCATAAAATTTCCATGTGGGAAAAGATGAAGAAAGAGATGCAGAGGAAATATCTCTCGACTAGCTACCATCTGAATATGATTCTAAGACTTCATCACCTGCAGTAGAGAGACCTATCAGTGGAGAAGTTCACTGAGTAGTTTGACCTGTTACAGAAAAACATGATTTGGTCGAGCCAGAAGAATACGACAAAACTTATTATCTGGGGAGCCTGAAGCCCGTTATAGCAATGTGATGCAATTACAACTAATTGGTCACTCAAGGATTTCCAGACCTTAGGATCGAAAGTAGAAAGGCGGCAAAAATAGAGCATGCAACATCCACCATTCAGACAGCCACCCACAGTTGGAAACACCAACAGGAACACACAAGAAGACAGTTGATTTGGATAGCGATAGAACCACCCACAGTGAGAAAAAAACCTAAGAGGAATAGCACACCTACTACGGTCCTCACTTGAAATTCTTTAAATCTCGCGAATTTGAGCACATCATTTTCAGTTGCCTGACGAGTTGAATTGTGTCCTTTACCAAGTAGGGCATCGAGAGGAGGTTAACAACGAGAAGACAGCTGAGAAATAGGGTGAGGTGTATCATCTTCCACCGAATGAAGGAGGTTATCTCATAGTTCGACGGGTACTACAGAACGAGGATACAGTGGATTTGTAATAGCTTCGTTACAATATATTATATACCAATTGTACCGTGAACGGGAAGGTATGCAGTTCATCATCGATGGAGGGAGTAGTGAGAACGTGGCACTACACAGATGGTGAAGTTGGGCCCTCCTTACGCAGAGGCACCCAGTCATAATCTCCAACGTGACTAAAGAAGTAAAATAGAGACACCATTGATCGGAGGTGCCTAGTACAGTTTTTGATTGGGGACCAACAATAGAATCAGGTGTGGTGCGATGCAATCCCCATGGATATCTGCCACCTTTTATTGGAAAAATTGTGGCAATTTTGACAGTAAGACTCAGCACGACAGATTCAGAAGCACATATTCCTTCATCAAGAATCGAAAGCGCATAGTCCTCCCTTCGGTGGAACAAGAGATCATAAGCAACTTTGCAAGTAGAGCAGCATCGGTGAGACCGTTTTTGGTGATGACAAATGATGACAGAACTGATACCAACTCAAGACATAAGACAGTCACGATAGAGAGCATTTCAAGACATTGAATTTGTTACCTTACTACCATGGTCATCATTGTTCGTGAAGGTTCGAGGTACCCTCACTTCAGATCAAGTTGAGCCGACTGTGGGTTATTTCGGAGGAATCAGCAGCCTATGCAGAATACACAAATGCGGCTATGTTCTATAGTGGACCCAAGAAAAGCATATCAATATGGATAGATGCGTGCAAGTGCAAAAGCTCCTCCAATGTTTTGGGAGACACTGCAATCGACAGTGAGATCCAAATGCTGCTAGGACGACATACGAAGAACCAAAACCTTCGACAAATGAAATCAAAGCTCCCCCAACCCTAGGATACTAACGTCAAGCTAGGGAGGGGTTGAATTGGGTGCTTGTTGAACCTGTTCAGCAAATTGGATTAAGGGGTCGGCCGACACTTGGATGAGGATCTAAGGTTGCCACCCAAATGAAGGGGTCCACCTTACTTATCTACTCCTATTTATATGTTGTTTTCTCTGTTTTAGAGTTAGTTTTTGTTGTGGTTTATGTTTGGACAACCATCGGCGTTCTCTATTACCCTTCTAGGGTTGTATCCGAGGATGAGTAGTGCCCTGGTTATATCTCACTCCGAGGTGGAGATTATCCTCGACTTTCTTATCCCCCCAAAACCATTTCTTCGTTGTTGTTGCCACCGCCGTAATTGTTGCAACCACCGGAAAACAACCTCATTCTTTTGTTCTTCCTGAAGTCAGCTACCCTCCTTCAGCTGTCTATTCCCCCTTGTCATCCCAGCTTCTGTCGCAAGCCTATTCCCCCTTGTCATCCCAGCTTCTACTGCAACCTACTCCAAACTACTAGTCGACCTTCTCAGCCACCACCTCCTCGATGCATCTGTCGCAACCCCTTTCCCCAACAGATATGTCGTCCACACAGCCCTACCAACTTTCCTTTGCTATCAGCCACTTGCAACCCCTTTTCCCCTCATTGTCATCCACAGCCAGGCCATAACCTACTCTGCCTTCCAACCTGCAGCTGCATTGATACTGGAGTTAACCCAAACCACAACGCAAGACAAGAATTTATTAATATCTTAAAAAAATAGTTACAACAATGAGCCAAAAGAAAGAAAGAGACCACGTAAATCAAAACATAAAACAAAGCATTACAAACAAAGTCCCTACAAATAAAGACCCAACAAGCTCAACGAGGAGGGTGTCCGAAGAGATGCGGTTGGAATGTCGATTGTTGAAGATCAAAACGAAGTCGAGCGACTAGGAAGGAGCGGGACAGCAAGTCAGCGCTCATTAAGGCGTTGAACCGCAAATGGAAGAAGCAGGAAACAACGTGAAAGGCTGGAAGGCGGTGAGGATGGTTGCCAAAGCCGAGGAGCGAAGGCAAGAGTTGTGGTCGAAGCTGAGGAACAAAGGCAAGAATGGTGACTGAAGCTGAGGAGCAGAGGCAGTGGGTTGCTGGAGTAGATTCTGAGGAGGTTGGATGTGTTGGGGTGGCCTGAGGATGGTTGTGACCTGCTGAGAGAGGCGACAACAGACTAGACGCCTAAGAGGGGGCAGTGGTCTGCTATGAGGGAGGAAGCAGATGCTATGACGGCCTGGAGGAAAGCTGCAGGGGAGCTGTCGGCAGTTTGTGAGAGCAACAGGGGCTGCGCCAATATGCAGAGGGGTTGCACAGAATTAGCGGCACTTTGGGAGAGTAGCAGGAAGTGTGGCAACCTGCAAGAAGGTTGCAGGCAGACTGGTGATGGCCTAGAAGGTAGCAGGGAGTGTGGTAACCTGCAGGGAGGTTGCAGGAGGAGTGGCGGCGCTCTAGAAGAGTAGAAGGGAGGCAAGGAAGCTGTCGGCTGGATTGGTGGAAGCGATGAAACGTCGGCAAGCTACAGGACTGCGGGTAGTAGTCGGAACGGCAAAGATAAACACCAACTTGGACGGGGTTACAGCAAAAGCACCTTCCTCGTTGTCAGATACAGCCCTCAAGAGAGAAAACACCCATATAAAACTTAATTCAGATTTCAAAATCTAGACCTCTAACTCTAGACAAATCAACGTTTATTTATAAAAGACTTGACCGAATTTAGGAAACATTTAAACTAAGAAAAAAATAAAAATAAAATCAAGATCTCAGATTCTACAAAAGGTTTAAATTAAGGAAGAAGAATAATATCAGGATTTAGGCCTTTAGGAAATGATTTAAATTAGGAAAGGGTCTAGGAAGGAAAATAGGAAGAGGAACAAAGGAAAAACAAAGGAAGGGGAAAAAAAGGAAAGGACGCAGAAGGAACGAGGGGGCGATGGGGCTCCCCTCCAAGCGAACCAGTCGGTTCAGCTGCATTGAACCTGCCCCAGCTGATCCCCAATGAGCCCCGCATCATGCACCCATTTAATTTCCCAGCCTATTGTCCAATCGCAAATCTGCTTCTTCCTGACTGCCATCACATTTCCCACCACCTTCCAACCTTCGTTTCAGCTACCCCTGCCAGCAAACTACCATGTCATTGTCGCACTATGATGTATTTTGTATTTATGACGTTATCCTAATATTGAGAGTCTTTGTTTATAAAATTTATTTGAATTTCAGCAATAATAATAACATTTTTATTATGAATTGGATTAACGTCGATATCAAATCAATATTTTATTTTTCGTTTGTATTGCAATACATTAGACTTCCACTAAGCATTATATCTTGTCAGATATTAATCTAGTAGTTATTTGTTTCAAGGGAAGAGAGCAGGTTTCAACACAGTAATGTGATCAATTTTATCCTTCATCCTAGTGTTTGGATGTATACTTTTGAGGGTACCAAAGACGGAAAACTTGATAGTGTATGTTAAACGCACGTATTATGTATTAATTATCAATAATGTTGATTAGAGGCTCTATAATTATTTTGATGAATATAATTTTGCATGTTGCCACATGAATTGTTGTGTTTGATTTATTGAACAATCATGTAAAGTGTTCTATATTTTGTGACAATCTAGTCAGAAATGTTTCTCACTCACTCGATCTTTGATAAGGAAGACGCTGGATGGATATTGGTCGGAAATGCATTTGATTGGGTTGCACATCTCATCAATGTCTCATGTTTGACTGAGAGCAACCAAAAAAGGAGTGTAACGGGATAATGCTCAAGGTAAAGGATTAAAAAAGACCGACAAATTTCTAAAAAAAATAATGCTGAACTTATGAATGCTACACATCCATACCACCATTCCACCCTCAAACGCGTTCTATTTATTTTTGACAAGAAGGTCAACGTAAAAAAGCACATCATCTTCAAAAAATATTACAAAAGCAATCAAAGTAGAAAAACAAAATTATTAAATGGCTTGTAAAACAATATTCTTTTAATAGAATGAGATATGCATAAACTCGAGAATATGATAACCAAAAACCAACTTAATTTCTAAGCCTGTGATTTTAGTTAAAAATTAGAACCTGATTCTTTGATCCCCAGCACTCGATCCACCAACCATCGCTAGCCATTCCGCACAGTGAATCACAGCTTCTATATCCTGCATGGAAAAGAATTGCCCTATTTCAATTATTTGTAAAAGTTGTGCTAGAATAAATAAGTTAATAACCTTGAAATAAAAACATCCATAAGATTGGCATTCATAACTAAAATGATGTCATGACATGAACTCGGCAACATATTATAAAATTTGAAAGATTTCTCTAAATAAAGCATTGCATTGATAATAAAAATGAGAAATGCTATCAAGAATATATATTTTTAAGTCATCCAACACGAGCGGAGAGAAAACTTATTCATATCGAAAAAGTATAGAAGAACTAGAAATATTTAACAGGGGAATTATGCTTTTTTTATGAGATATTTGATTATTTGCCCTGTTATGGTAGTTACTTGGTTTGAGTAATATTGGTGAGAAAATTATTACAGGATTTGGTATTAACATCTGCAAACTAATATATATTAGAAACTAAAACATAAGATATGTAAATACAAAAATAGAGTCTTAAATCTAAAATACAGAAAAATTCTAAAAAGATAAATGAGAAATTATTTTAAGTCATTGAGCTTTGTTGTATATTATTTGGGAAATTTGTAATTTACTAAGACGCGCTTATGTATTGGTGAGGAATTGTTGGTCTAAAAATGTCCATTATTTGGTCATTAAATTAAAATATACAGTATATGGGATGTGACAAATATCCATAATTCATCATAAAGAGGATATGGTACTAAGCTATTACTAACGACTGGATATGGGTACAGAATCAAGCATCTAATTGTTATTCAAATACGAATTTGCATAGACCTTGTAAGGGTGCTACTCTGCTAGTTGCCATCCCAACATAATTCTAGGTGAGGTTTATGCACAGTGAAGTACTTTAACGCGATGCATTGGGTAGACTGCAACTCAGAGCATTTCACCCATTCATCCAGTGTATTGAAATCGTTAGAAATGATTCAAATGCTCATGCAGAAACAATAACTCAACCATATTACATGCAGAGCATGGTTAAAACTATCACTCTATAACCATTGTCAACTAAACAGTTTAAACCTTAAATAAAAGACCAAATTAATCACCAAAATTATTAACAAGTAGCATCATGAACAGTAACTCCTAAACACAGAAACATATATATACAAAAAGTACGGGCATACATTGAACAGTGCAGAGTACGAACATATCAACATGAATTTTTAGAAACACAAACATAAAATTTTAAGTAATAACGCTAATAAAATAAACAACAAAACAAGTACTTGCAAATCTGATATCTGAATATTTGAAACATAATATCTTCTTTTTATTCCTGAAAACAAAACTCATCCAACAGCCAAACCATGCAGCACATGCAAATGGAACAAAGCTTTACTTTTGAAATTCTTAAGCCGGATACAAGTACGGTTTCAAGTACAACGCCCATTGAGTACTAACAATATTTAAGTACTATCAAACAGGGAAATGATAAGTTTCCAGATTTATCCATTTTTCATAAGTGCTCCACAAATTACAGAAATCCAGATCTTTCCAATATATTTATATATAATGACAATGAAAAGAATGAGGAAATAGAATGTACAAAAAGAAAATTGGTATAAAACATGTGAATGCCACGATTTGTGAAATGGTTGTTGAGAAGAAACCCTCAAACAGATTGAACCAATAGATAAAAACTTTACCATCCATCCATTTTTTCTCCGCATCGAGTGCTCTAGCATGATGATTAGGAAGTTGTGAATGAGATCTTCAATCTCACCGATAGATGCATCATTTGAATTTTTTAGTGATCCATCCTAAAAGAGAAAATGATGTAATAAGTAGTCATGAAAATTAAATGAAAATTTTAATTTAAGAAGTTTACGTGAAAGCTAATTCATTGTGCGGGAGTGAACTTAGACCAAAATTTTGATGTAGCAAGCTTAATACTTGATTTTTTAAAAATTGTTCTTCCTGCTTCACATTTAATGAGTTTCAAAAAGTTTTCCCTCCTAGAACAATAAACATAATGAAACTACCAAGCATGCAAACAGCAGCTCGATATATGGGAAAGAATATGGTCATAGATCTGATGAACATAATCATCATGAAGCATAAATAAATTTGCTATCGCGCAATTTTCCCCACAAGCTTCTTCTTGAAAGAAAAAAAAAAGGAAAAGAAAGAATCTTCTTTAAGCACAAACTTTAATATAATTATTTTCTCAAATCTCTCCAATCTGTTTTGCTTACCTACACCAAATATCAAATTATTTTTTTTCCACTGGAGTGCAAACTTTTAAAGTGCAAAATAAGTTTTAGCTTCATCTCCCATCAACAGGACGAAATATATAGTTTGCATTGCACTTTCCATCTAGAAGCAAGCATATTGGATAATGGATTGGAATTTCATTTCAAGTAATAATTTTGCTGTATCCGTGTAATCACATAAATTCATCGAGTGACTAGTTTGATTTCTTTGGTTTTAATAAATTTTCTTAAAATAGACTTAAGTTACAAAAAACAACTTCATCAAAAAAAAATTTACCTTACAAGAACCATTCATAATCTATAAAATTTCACAAATCAGATAAATTTACCATGGCTATACCATACTTTCAAATTTTATGGAAAAGCATTACAATGGTCTCTTGAATTTTTGTGGGGAACCATTTTAATCTCTGACACGGGGGTTTCCTCCAAAATGTGAACCGGTTTGGCCCAAACCGATTTAGTTGAGAGAGGGGTCCAAATCGGCCCCTCCCCTCTTTTCATTAGGCAGGAAATTCCCCGTCCTCCTATTTTCATTTCCTGTGCATCCCACTTGTAGTTATATGTGTTTTTAGGTTTTAGGAAAACAGTTTGATGTTATTTCTGATTTCAAATTTGTGAGGGCAGCTGCCGAAGTCTGATTTTTCTCGAGGGTTGTATCTGACGGCTAGGGTGATGCACCGGTCGTATCCCTCTTCTCAGTGGTGATTTATCTTCTCCGACTTCTACCACCATCTCCCCTCCTCATCGCTTGTTGGTTCTCCCAGCTCTCCAACGCTTTTAGCCCTCAACATCCCTGAGTTTCCATCGCAACCGAGGCGAGATATAGTGACAAGGACTCTCCTACATCATCTTTCACCTCTCAAACCTAAACCTTTAGTCATGCAACTAATGAAAAACATGCCCGAGCCCACCCGGGACGAGATAGAGCGAGAGCTCCAACGTATTCAGCGGAGGATTATGGATATTGAAGAGGAAATCCAATGTGAGGCTACCCTTGACCTTGATCCGAAAGGTCGAAGGTGGGAACGAGAAGATATGAAGATGAAACAGGAAACACAACGTTAGTTTCTACTAACTTACTACAGCCAAAAGTTGCAAACTCTAGCTTTCGAAGTGGAGAGACCGCAGCACCAAGGGACACCCCTTGCTACTATCCAGCAAAACCAATCTAAAAGTCTGTCACAGTCAGAACATGCTGCAAGTGCCACGGATTTGGACATGTGGAAGCAGAATGCACAACTAAGGAGTGATCTACTTCACCGAGCAGGGTGTCATGGAAAAATTGGTAAAAGACACTGCATACACTGAAAACGATGAGGACATAAACGAGGAGTACAAAGTACCAGTTGAAGAGATGAACGGTGATCAGGAAGAAGATATAGACTTCACAGAGGATTCTCATTTTTTACCTAACGAAGAAGAGACGCCACCAAATCTAGTTGACCCCGAGATAGAGATTCCAGTTAAGGTAGCAGTCGCTACTCTAGAAGGTAATGACTCTGAGGTAATGGGCAGCCCAGCGAAGCATGAAATTATTGCGCCTCGAGCTAGCATCTTTTAGACGATGAGAGAGGAATGATCTTGAATGGCTGCAAAAGTTATGAGTTTGAGGAGCCAACATCAGATACAGGTCCACCCCAGATAAGCGAGATGCAGATTTTCAGATGTATAGACCCCCTCCGGAGTTGCCCCAAAGGAAAGAGGTCTAGCATGTTAGAAATGACGTCATTGTGTTTCATGTCGAGAACGTTCCATGGAACATTCAGATGTTACCTTTAAGTCAGCAAGGGACACCTCGTCAGATGTCCAGGAAAGAGAGCTTTGTAGTGGCCTCAAGAAGTTTGATGGGGACGAAAATTTTGCAATAGGATCTAGCTCCTATTTGTGTGAAAGAGGACTCTCCTGAGAAGAATCCAGTAGGAATGGTGCAACCTGCCAAAGATTTCAACCCAGAGTGAATTTATCCTCACATACTAGGCTATCAGTTGCATCCAGTCGAATACGAGGAATAGAAGAAGCATGTTACAACTGGGATGACGTTATACCTAATTCATGGGGATACTCGTCTAGCTACAGTTCTAGCTCAACCCGTGCCAAAGGTGGATGGATATCTCTTCAATCAAAATGTGCTTTGGAACAACAACGTCTACTTCTACAACGTACCAGAGGACTCGATGGCCTGCCACGAGGAGCCAAAAGCTTCTATGAATGAGATCGAAGCTCCACCAACCACGGGAGAATGACAATGAAGTTTTCCTCCAAAAGTTGAACTAGTTTGAGCCGAACCGGTTTAGTTAAGAGAAGAGGCAGAACTTGCCCCTCCCCTCTTTTCATTAGGCGAAAAATTTCCCACCTTATTTTCATTTCTCGTCCATCCCAATTCTATTTATATGTGCTTTTAGGTCGTAGAAAGACAATTTGATCTTATTTCTGATTTCAGATTTGTGAGGACAGCCACTAACATCCTAGTTTCCACCCGAGGGTTGTATCTGACAGTTATGGTGGTACTTCGACTATATCCCTCACCCCAGTGATGATTTATCTTCTCCAACTTTCACTTCCATCTCCCCTCCTCGTCGTCTACTGGTTCTCCTTGCTCTCCAACACTTCCAGTCCCCAACAGCCCCGAGTTTCCATTGCAGCCGGCTGATCCCTCCTCACCCGTCAAACACCAGCAAACCCCCCCCCCCCCCCACACAAAAAACACAACTACA